CCAGCAGTGGGCCTGAATCCTGCATGGTTTATCCTCCAGGCCGTCTGTCTCTTCATTGGGTTGCTTGGGCATCATGGAGCAATTGCTTCACTGTGCTTTGAGGTCCATGTACCTAGAGTGGAGAAGGCTAGAAGAAAGGTTTCAAGAAAAGTACCAATAGTGATTTGAATAATGTGGGAAACTCCCCAAAATGCCAAATTATACCACCCTCTGCTCTTTTCTCTATCCACACAGCCAGATTGAGACAGGCAGGAATTAGATGGAGAAATATGTGACTTCACATTAAGTAAGAGGGACAGATGTTTTTCTCTGTGTTTATTAGGTTAAGTGGCATCCTTCCATTTTGATGGTAAAGGCCAAAGTAAATATAAATGATGATTTCTGACTTGGGGCCTTGAGTTCCCTAGTCATATCAGGGAAAGTTGGTGATCTTGACTGCAAAGTGGTGGTTTCCACTTTTCACATTATGATGTTTGGAAATGGTGTTGGGACTAACAGAGGAAGAGAGATAGGATGAGAAGGGAGGACACAGGGATTGGTTGGAAGGAAGATGACATCCGATTGGTTCTTTAGGGTGGGGGTACAAGGGAGGCTGGCCTTACAATAACTCTGAAGCTCGGAGTTGGGGAAGGGTTAATTGAAAATCAGTCATAGCTTGGAATTGCTTTGAGCTTAAAACTTTGGGTCCAGTACTTCTCCAGGTAAGGATGGTAAAGGTATTGTTGGCACTCAGTTAATAATCCCTTACTGCACTTAGAAGTTTTGGCTTGGGGTTGCTTTTTTTGAAATTAAGGTTTAAGGTTGAACTATATGAAGTCACCTAATGCAGCCTAGTCCTGAGAGTCTGCTAAAGAACAAATGATGAACTGCTTGGCATCTCCGGGCACATTATGCAACTCTGCCTCGCCTCAAACTTTGCAGCCCTATCAGACATACAGCTCCGTGTGTGGGAAAGATCTGCATCCCGTGATTTTTTTTTTTTTTTGACTACAGAGATAATTATTTGGGGTAGCTGTTCTGATGATAGCTCACACGGAGTTTCAGCCTGCAAGCTCAGAGCTGTCTCTAGTCGTGATTGCCTATAATGATGATTACCCAAACTCTGGAATTATAACAATAGATTTTACCAAGTTAGAGCATAATTGTTCCACCTTTCCTTATGTGAGCACAGATTAAACAACTTTGATCTTTCAATCAGATTTCTGTTACTCATCTTCTGAAATAGCAAAATTCAGAGGCAGTAACTTTCTTCTACCTCCATCTCCCCCCTTCTTGAATCCTAGTGAGGTCTAGATTTGTTAAAGCAGTTCACCTGGTAAAGAAATAAGGTCTAAAGTTGGGTGGAGTACAAAGGGTACTGACCTGGGGTGTTCAAATCCCAATTCTGCCATCTAGAAGCTACTTGGCTTAGGGGAAAGTCTTTAACCTCCCTGAGACTCATCGTCCTCATCTGTCAACACCCACCTGGCTGAATCTTTGTGAAATTAGAAATGAATATAAAGCACCTAATCGATGCCTTGCACTAATGGGCAGTCAATAAAGCAATGTTAGGTCATCATCATCTTCAGTTCCATGATCAATTCTCAGGCTTTGCGAGCTTCAGGACCCTTCTGTGTCCTTGGATTTTGCAGTCTTCATTCAACATACAAGTGTGTTTGGAATTAGTGGTCAGGGATGTGGTATTGTCACTAAATTAGGGATGGAGTTTTGCAAGAAATGAGCAAGTATGGAAAAGGGAAAAAAAAACCTAGGCCACCTACAGATGGAACACTTAGTACTGAGCAAGTACTGACAAATAAATGTCTTTGCCATGCTCTGCTCAAGGGGTGCGCAGCATTTAGTGTGCATTTCAGTAAGAGTACCACTCTCCCCCGAGTCTGAATGTGGAAGGTCTAGACTGACCTGGAATTCAGCATTTTTAGGAGGATCACTGGTGATTTTGAAACAGGTGGTTCAAGGACTGTCAGTCTCTTCCCACTTCCCTAACTGAGAAACAGTTTGCTGCTTGTGTCTGTGCGTCAATTTGAGATTTAAAAATGACAACAAACCACTGCTTCTGGATAGCCCAGCGCCCACAGCCACCGCCAGCAGAGGAGGCCTGATTTTCTTGGGAGGGAAAGAAGTGACAGCCGCAGAGTCCTAGGCCATGTCGGTGTCTGGGCTTGAGTGTCCCTCCACCCCCAGCATCTGTGGGTCACCCCCAGACTGGCGCTGTCGTGGTGAGCTAATGCTGGTGTCTGCCCTGCACTGGCTCATTCAGGAGCCTCTGGAATGATCAATGAGGCCCGGCGGCCAGGCTCTCCACTGGCCGCCGGTGAATCAGCTGCCTGGGCCGTTGTCATCCCCACTAAGCAGGAAGCACTTGAGCTGAGAGCAGGCAGGGCTGACTCGTGGCTGGTTAATGGCTTTTCTGTGTCATGCGTCAGCCTTGATCCCATACATTTTTCATACATGAGTGGGTTGAAGCACCTGAAGATGGTCCGATAGTGGAAATAGCTCTTCTGACATGCCCCCTACCGAAGCCTTTGGCAGGACTTTGGTTTAGGGGTATCTGCTTCCAAAGCAAAGTCAACACTTTAAAAAAATTGAGATGAAATTCACATAGCATAAAATCAGCCATTTTGAAGGGAAGGGTTCAGCGGTATCTAGGACATTCACAGTGTTGCACAGCCACCACCTCTATCCAAAACACTTTCATCACCCCAAAAGGAAATCCTGCAAGGATCATATTAGTTTTCTAGGGCTGCACTGTGACAATAGACTAGGTGGCTTAAATGACACAAGTGTATTGCCTCACAGCTCTGGAGGCCAGAAGTTAGAAATAGAGGTGTCAGCAAGGATGGTCCTTTCTGAAGGCTGTGTTGGAGGGATCTGCCCCTGGCCTCATTCCTTGGGATTGAGATGGGAGTCCTCTCACATCATCTGCTCCGTGCCTGTCTGTGTCTGTGCCCAAATTGTCCTCTTTTATAAGGACACCAGTCATGTTGGATAAGGGCTCATCCCAATGACTTCATGTTAACATAATTACCTCAGTACAGACCCTATCACCAAATATGGTCACATTTTGAGGTACTGGGGGTTAGGACATCATCATATGAATTTTGAGGGCTAGAGTTCAGCCCTTAACACCTACTAAGGAGTTTCAGTATCAGTACTTCATTCTTTTTTATAGCTGAATAACATTCCATTGTATGTAAACATTTATGTTTTGAACACCAAGTCCAAAGCAACCGTCAGTGAAATCTGCACCCACTGGGCAGCTGGGTGCCCTGTGACAGGCTCGTGTGCCATCTGCATGAGGTGGAGTGTTGCTCTCGTAGGTGTAGCACCAGTCTCCAATCCATAAGCTTTTTCATCCTGTCTTCCTCCTTGAAAGAGTGTTTAATCTTTATGAGCAAAAGTCAAAGCAGTTCTGGACCAGGTCAAGCTTCTGATCCTAAAATTCATTGTAAAAATTGATTTTATCTTTCAGCTACTTCTTTCCTCTTTTTGCTCTTATCTCCAGCGCTCCTCCCCCTCCCTCAGCTCTCGCGTGCACACACACCCGCACACGCACATGCACGCTCACATTAAAAGCATTTTAAAAACAGACCATTCTGGAGAGGAACATGGCACTGACAGGAAATGCAGCCCTTCTAGAAGACCCAGCCAGCTGGCTTCCATTGTCATGGTGACAGGGCCAGTCCCCAGGGCTGGCTACAGAGCAGAGCCTGCCAGAGCTTCTTCACACTCCCCTCCTGGCACCTGCCTTAGAATGAAAGAGACACCTTAGGGACATGTGTCCTCTCAGCTGTGAAACTGACTACACTTTTGACTTGCACATTTTACCTGCCCCCTTAACTTACAACATGTTTCTCTCTCTCACACACACAGACAGGAGCCCTGCATCCCTGCTGGCCTGAATTCTTTGGGGACAGACCCAGAGTCACCATTAGCTTGTTGCAGACTAAGGGCCTTTTCGCCAATCCCAGAGGCCTCGGTGGTAACAACACTGTGTCTGTGTTGGTTCACACTGAATCTGTGGGAGAGACTCCCGCAGGATGACATTGTCCTTCGTACTGACTCTGAGCAGCATTGTCCCTCATGCAAAAGTTGTTTTACCATGCCACCCCCCCCCCATCAAATTAGTTTTGCCACTTTGAAAGTCCACTAGGGGAAGAAATGCCTGCTGGCCCTGTGGCTTTCAGAGAGGCAGGAAGGAGAATAGAATGGCTCAAACATTTTCTGTTCACATCATATCTTGCTCCATATTATCATTTTAGTGCAAGACATGTGGCTCCTGGGACCTCAGGCTGGAAGGCTCCACCCTGTTCATAGAACTGGATGAAAAGGAGTTAAAAATACTATAGACAGTCCTTGGTGTAGGTCAGACTTCTGCAACACATGCTCTTTGCCTTGGCTTCATTCAAGGTTAGAGACTGGGCATCTGGATCTGTTAGAAGCTTCCAGGTGATTCTAATGTCCAGTAACCTTTGAGAACCTCTGTTCTAGGGGACAGAGGCCTCCAGGAGAGTTGAGCACTTTGAGAGGAGGGTAGAAGAAACAGGTGATATCTAATTCTCTGTGTGCAGCAATGCTGTTAATTAGGCAGAAAGCAAGGACAGAAATAACACACTCTGGGCTGTCTTTGGCCAAACCAAACAGGGCTTTAGCTCCATTTAGCCCTGTTGGGCCAGAATGGAGAGGGGGACTCCAGTGTCCCCTTTCCCAAAGCTTGGTCACTGCCAAATCTTAAAGCCTACCAGCCACTCCAGTGAGCATTGCCAAGGTGATGCAAAACATTCACCGGAACACGCCATTTCTACATTTGACTCACAACTAGTTCTCTCCCTGGCTCCCGAGGAAAAGTAACATTAGGCCCATGTGGCCACTTACTCTTCTCAGCAGAAGGTGCTGATGTTATTAGTTGCTCGCTGCGCCGTGGTTGGTTGCAGGGGGGAGCGGGTGTCAAAGGCAAGCTGTGGCGCTGACCTCTGTGTCCCTGTCTCTGTGTTTTGTAGTACAAAATCGGACAGCTGTACATGATCAGCAAACACAGCCATGAACAGAGCGACCGGGGAGAAGGGGTGGAGGTCGTGCAGAATGAGCCCTTTGAGGACCCTCACCATGGCAACGGGCAGTTCACCGAGAAGCGGGTGTATCTCAACAGGTGAGTCATAGCAGGTGCATTCCACACAGGACCCCGTCCCACTGGACCCCACATCACGACCAGGTGGAGGCAGTGAGTGTCTGGAATAAAAGGGTCACTTGGAAAGTCACCATTTCCACTGTCTACAACCACCAATCTCATTGCGTCTGAAACCAGAATACCTACCTCCCGCATTCTGCAAAATCGTCTCCAACTGCATTTTCACAAGGAGGAGCTTTTGTCTTATCTTTATCACCCCTTTGGTGACTGGTTAAGATGAAATCTAATCTTAGGAATTAAAGAACTTTGTCTTCTCCCTTGGTTCAGTGTATAGGCCCTGCCCATACGTTGTAGAGAAGTGTTGAAAGTGGGCAGTGTGCCTTTGGGTCTTCACTTAGTAAGATTTCTACTTGCTATTGGGTGACCACTTAGGTGTCCAAAAAAGGAAATGACAAATGAACAGTCACCTGTGACCAAAGTGATATATGATGGCTAAGATGGCTTCCATTTCTCAATGGACCCATCCTTCTCAAGGTAAAGGTTGTCAGTCTTCTTTTGGAAGGGGAACGCCTCCAGGATTACAAAGTGGTACTAATCGAGACTGCTATTTCTGCTTTGCAAAGCATATTGTTTAATTTATTGTTATTTTATCATCACTAATGGTATAATTGATTATTAGTGCTTATCTGATCATCTCCCCACCCTATAGCCCCATCCAGCCCATCTTCTTCCATTCAGTCCTTTTCTAAGTCAGAGTATTTGTAGTTAGATGCCATATGAAATACATTTTATTGAAATTAACTGCTCCAGCAAATGAGTTTTATGTCAGTTTTTCCATGAATATTGTCTCTGCTGCCTGTGGCCTCTCCAATCTGCCCATATGTGATAATGCAGAAAGTAGTTCCAACAGACTGGGTGGCCCAGAGCCACCACTTCATTTAGACCCCTGTGACTACTTTGTCCATTTTCAGTGCCTTGGATGTGGTCGGACATCTCTGAGGGGAGCCATATTTGGATTCCACCAGTCTTACTCTGGCTCCATTCTGGCAGAAGTGGACTATTCCTTCTTGAGGGAGGACTTCGAGTCCTGTCATTAGGGTGGATGGAAGTCTCCCAGGCCAGTGTCCTGACAGTGAAGTACTTGGGCTGATTAAACCGATGCATTTTAAGCAGTAACAGGGAATTCCTGAGTCACGATGAAATGCAAATGAGATCGATCCCATTCATCTGTTAGTAGCTGTGAATTCCCAGGGTTTGGAACCAGTTCAGCCTCCAGCCAGCTGTTGATTTGCAGGAGTAGCTGAGCTGCGGATCTGGCCTGGGTATGGCTCCCTTCCAGTGTGCTGCTTTGGCATTCTTAGTGTAGAGGGTGTAAATCAAATATTGAGCAGGTTTCTCCTCAGGGATCACCTCTGCAGAGCAAAGAGAAGTGAGGGAGATGCAGGAAAATAGAAACCTACGGAAAATTCCATTTCTTGGTAGACAATCATATTCTCCCAAGTTATTGCCTGGGGAATGTTCCCTAGGTACCTAAATCAAGAAGAATTTTAGAAACTATAACTTTTGCTAAAACAGAATAGCAAATGTCCAGCTGTCCCTGTTATGTCTGTTTTATCATATCATATTTCTATGATATTTATTTTAAAGGCGAGTAATGAACATTAGTAAGAGGGAAATTTGTTATAAATAGAAGTTGTGGACTTCCAGTAAGAATAACTAAAAAGATTAATGGGGACCATCCCCAACTTCCCATGACAAACACAGGATGAAACAGAACTATATAAAGCTGAGCTCAAAACAAAGACAGGGAAATCCTCAGGGGCTAGAACTAAAGAGGTGAATACAAAGTGGAGTAGAAAGCAGAACTGCCAATGTTAAGGAAGTTAGGGGACAGCAGAGCCATGTAGACCCTGACATCTAGGGGCTGAGCATGCCATACCCAACAGGGACAGGAGGCATGGCACGAGGCACACATAAATGGAGAGTTGGAAGTGAGAATCAGGCATAAAAATAGTTTTGTACAATTAAGGGCTAAGGGAGGTTACTACTCAGAGACTCACATTGAAAGAACTACTAAAGGATATACTTAAAGAAGAGGAAACTGAGCCCAGGAAGAAGGAGAGGGTATCTAGAACTACTAATAAACAAAGAAATTGGTAAATATCTGCACAAATCTGAAGGAACATAGAATGTTTTAAGAACACTAATGACTAGTTGGGAATATATTCATGGAATCTAAATAACAACAATAACACAGAAGATGAGAGGGTGGTAAGTACAGTAAAAAACACTCTGAGGGACTAATATTATTTGGGAATTGGAGAGAGATGTTGATTAATTTTAGATATTTTAGGACAAGTATACATACTCAACATGTAAAATTGACCTCTGAAGGAATAGTAAAACATTAGATAACTTCCAAGAGAAAACTTGATCAATCCATAGAAAGCAAGGGAATAAAAAAGAAAAGCCTACAAAAAGTATGATAAATAGAAAACATAAATTTGGTAAAATAAATAGAAATGTCAGATACGTTCTCAGCTACCCTTGTAGCTAAGGAGGGCCGTGTGACCTAGTTCTGGCCAATGAGATATAAGATTTTCCTCCTTCATTAAAAACAGAAATATGTTCAAGGGAGCATGATTTGCTTTTAAGAAAGGAGGAGGGGATGGGGAGTGACTGCTGAGAAGACAGCAAAGAGTGCCCAACACTTGAGCCTTGGTTTCAAAACTAAACAATACCAGTACATAAAGGAAATGTAAAAACCAATCTCAGTTAAGAGCATAGACATGAAAATCCTATATGAAAATTAGAAAATGAAATACTTCAAAGTATAATGATAATAATATACAATTACCTAATCAAATTTATCCCCAAAACTTATTAAATTAACATTTAATAAATATTTCTGTGTACTTGTTTACAGTAAAGTCAGGAACAAAATTAAGATTCTTTTTATCATCACTTTTTTTTTGAGACAGTCTCATTCTGTCACCCTGGCTAGAGTGTGCAGTGGCATGATCGTAGCTCATGGCAACCTCAAACTCCTGGGCTCAAGTGATCCTCCTGCCTCAGCATTCTGAGTAGCTGGGACTACAAGTGCATTTGCCACCACATCCAGCTAATTTTTCTATTTTTAGTAGAGATGGGGTTTTACTCTTGCTCAGGCTGGTCTCCAACTCCTCCAACTCAAGCAGTCCTCCTGCCTTGGCCTCCCAGAGTGCTGGGATTACAGGCATGAGCCTCCATACCAGGCCTATCACCACTTTTATCTAACACTGTGTGAAAGGTCCTAGCCAGTAGAATAAAACAAGAGAGAAATAAGAGGAAAGGAAGGAACAGAACGATCATTTGCAAATAATATGATTGACTAATAGAAATTATCTAATGGAAATTTTAGACTCTAGATAGCCATAAACCTCAATATGAGAATTCAGCAAGATTGATGGATATAAATCCATATATAAAAATCAACAGCATTGTTATACAGCCGGAGCAAAAATTGGGAAAATGTAAACCTTAAAAATTCCATTTTCAATAGAAAAAGAAACTTAAAGTTACCCAGTAATAAATCCATAAGATGTGCAAAATCTTTCTGGAGACAAACATAAAACATTTGTTGAGGACATTTTAAAAACCCTAGATAAATGGTGAAATATACTATATTCATGGATGGGAAGTGTTATAAAGTTGACATCAATTCTCAAATCAATTTATAAAGTTGATACAAATCTAATCAATATGCCAACCATGTTATTTTTGTACAAAATAAAACTAGAGAAGATAATACTAAAATTTATATGAACAATTTTGAAAAGCTGAGAAGTAGGAGGAACTTGTCTTACCAGATATCCTGGCCTTTTATAAAGCTATAGTAACTAAGGCAGTAGAGTACTAGAGCAAAGTTAAACAAACTCATGGAACAAAAGAACCCCCAAATAGATCCAAGCCATTATTCGTGCTTGGTACTTAACACAGTGAAGAAAAGATGAACTCTTCACTGTACGATGTTGGAATGATTGGGTTTCTAATTAGAAAAACAACTAGATCTCTATTTGATATCACACACAAAAATAAATTTCAGATTAATTTAAAACTTAAATGTGAAAAAAATTAGAAAAAATATAAGTAAATATCTTTATTATTTGGAGAGTAGGATAGGACTAATTAAACAAGACATAAATAAATGGACTGATTAATATTACTACATTAAAATTAAGAGCCTCTGCATAGCAAAAGACATGCACATAAAAAATTAAAAAATAAACCTTTGCATAGCAGAAAATACCAAAATTAATAGAACATCCCTTCCTGGAGGAAAATATTTGCAATATTCATATAGACCAAGGACTGTTATTCAAATATATTTTAAAAATTACTCTTATAGATCAATTTTTTATTTTTAAAAAATGACAAAATAATCCAGTCAAAAGATGGGCAAGGAATTGAATACACAATTCAGAGAAGAGGAAATGTGAATGGCCAATATATCTATGAACAATGCCCATCCTATTAGAAGGCAGGAAAACTCAAATTAAAATAGCAACAACATCCCATTTCACACACATCAGATTTGCAAAAGTCAGTAAGTCTGATAACACCAGGGTAGATGAGGATATGGGAAACCAACTCACTTCCAAGGCTGGCAAGAGGTATAAACTGATACCACCTCTTTAGAGAACAATTGACAACAATTAGAAAAGTTGAAAGTAATTGTACATTCCACCTAACAATTCTTTCTCTAAATGGAACCCTAGAGAAATTCTTGCACTATACAAGGAAACATTTACCAGGAGACTAATTCTAACACTGTATGTAATGGAAAATAAATGGAAACAATCTACATATTTGCGATTGGGAATACATTATGGTATATTCACACAATGGAAAATTCCATAGTAATTTAACTTAATGAACCAGATACCAGATATACTTTGATACATTTCAAAGGCATAACACAATGTACAATAGGTAAGCTGCAAAAAACAAACAAAAATATATTTATACACATATATTAATAG